AGAACCGCCCAAAACGGCCCAAGAACCTCCCGAAGACGGGCCCAAGAGGGGCTCCAGAGAGAGACCACGCACCGGAAAACCCAGCCTTACGTCCCAAGAGGCCCCCACCCAGGAGGGCCCCAGAGGCCCCAAAGAGGCCCAAAAACCCCCCAAGAGGCCCCCAAGACGTTCCAAGAGGCGCCCAAGAAGCCACAAAGAGGTCCCAAAACGGCCCCCAAGAGCCTTCGAAACTGCTCCAAGAGGTCCGCAAGAAGCCCCCACGCAAGATCCCAACGGACATCCCTGAACACACCGGTTTTCCGAGTCGCGCCCAGCCCCATAACCCGGAGCCTCATCTCAGTGTCCCCGTCCTCCTCCTCTTCCTCCTCCTCCTCCTACACTTCCTCCTCGTTCCCCTCCTCCTCTTCCTGCCCCGCTTCAGCTCATCCTCACCGATGTTTCTCCCCCCCATTTTCCGCCTCACCCCCCATCCCCCTCTTCCCGTCCTCCCTTTCTGCCCAGTACGCGCAACCGATTGGGCATCATTTGCACGTCTTGCACTTTAGGGTGCCCTTCTTTGCGTCGCGCGGGACATTGTGAGGGTCGGGGAACGCCGACTTTGGTAGTCCTCTCTTGCACGCGCCGCTGCACTGATAAGCCTGGCAACTGCGCGCTGTGAACCCGAGTCCCTCGCAGCTTACGCACGCCAGTTTAGCTCCTTTCGCCGCTCGATGATGTTCCACTTGCTTCTGCTTCAAATGTTTCGTGTCCGAGAACGCGCCTTTGCACGCCGCGCACGTCAGCGGCTTCGCGTCCGCCTCTGCTTTCCGCTTGCGATTCTCTGTATCCGCCTTCTCGTTCCGCCCACCCTTCTCGTTGCGGGCGCACGCCCTGCAAAGCCTCTCCCCCGCATCTTTCGAGTCGTACTGGTTCGCCGCCGCTTCCGCCTCCGTCTTCAAGAAATTCTTGCACTTCGCGCACCGAATCTGGACTTTCTCATGAATCTGAAAGGCCTCTGAACCACAACTCAGGCACGGTGGCGGGATGGGCCGACTACTGGGAGGAGGAGCAAAGACGACGACGATAGGAATGCGGGGTTTAAAGTCGGGCCATGACGCCCCCAAGACGTCCAATATTGCCTCCAAACAAAATCCGGGGTCGGCGGTGTGGCGTAAGCCTGAAGAATCAATAACAACCACAACAAAAGACACCAACAATAATTTGAAGACTGATTGCTCCTATCTGCTCGAATGCCATTAAACGTGTATTTTCCCACCCCTCGATACCCGCCCTTTTGGTCTTCGGTCGTACCCCTTCTGGGGAGGTATATATGTCTCCCCTGCAGGCCAAGCCCCGGCAAGCGGCGGGGCGGCCGCGGACCGTCGGCCTGGCCAGCGGCAACGCTGATCGGCGGCAACCCGACCCCAAGAGGGACGGACAGGGGACCGACCACGACGACGACGACGACGACGACGACGAAAGCAAGAGCGAAAGCGAGAGCAAAAGCGAGAGCGACAGCGGGGCCACGTAGGGCAGGAAGAGGGCCACGAAGGGCAACAGCGGGCCACGAAGGGCAAGCGACGGGGCCACGAAGGGCGCGAACGAGCGGGGGCCATGAAGGTCAGATAATGTGGGGCCACAGAGGGCAACGACGGGACCACTGAGGGTAGCAACGGGGCCACGTAGGGCAGCGAGGGGCCACGAAGGGCGACAGCGGGGCCACGAAGGGCATGCATATGGGGCCACAAGGGGCGCGAACGAGCGGGGGCCACGAAGGACATACGTATATTGGACCGCAGAGGGCAAGGACGGGACCACTGAGGGTAGCGACGAGACCACGAAGGGCGACAGCGGGGCCACGAAGCGAATGCATATGGGACCACAAAGGGCGAGAACGAGCGAGCCACGAAAGGGATGCATGTATGGGGCCACGAAGGGCAGCGAGGGGGCCACGAAGGGCGACAGCGGGGCCACCAAGGGCAGCGAGGGGGCCACGAAGGGCTGCAGCAGGGCCACGAAAGGCAGCGAGGGGGTCACGAAGAGCTGCAACGGGGCCACGAAAGGCAGCGAGGGGGCCACGAAGAGCTGCAACGGGGCCACGAAAAGCAGCGAGGGGGCCACGAAGAGCTGCAACGGGGCCACGAAAAGCAGCGAGGGGGCCACGAAGGGATGCAACGGGTCAATGAAGGGCAGCGAGGGGGCCACGAAGGGGTGCAACGGGGCAGTGAAGGGTAGCGAGGGGGCCAAGAAGGGCTGCAACGGGACCACGAAGCGTAGCGAGGGGGCCACGAAGGTTTGCAACGGGTCCACGAAGGATCATCGAGGGGGCACGAAGGGCTGCAACGGGGTCACGAAGGGCAGGGAGATCCCGATTCCCCGGTAAGCTGTGCGAGAGTCCTAAGCGTGAGCACGACTCTTGGGTGCCTGAGTGTCTGGAGCGCGGCGCTCGAAGAAATCCCACCAGCCCTCTGGGCGTAGGTGGTCTAGAACAGATCCTCTTCCACCCCTCCCTCTTCTCCCTTGCGGAGGGGTTTACCCCTCCCCCTACCCCCTCCCCTGGACCTGGACGGAGGGTTCCCCGAGCGGTCGGACGGCTCTTGTGGCCCCAAGATGGCTTCAAGAGCGCGTCAGAGAGCCCAAGATGAGCTCCAAGATAGCTCAAGATAGCGCAAGATCGCTCGAGATGGCTCCTAAGATGGTTCCAAGAGGCCCAAAGACGGCCCCAAGACGGCTCCAAGTGGCCAAAGAGCTCCCCAAGGAGGCCCCGAAGAGGCCAAAATCGTTCCATAACCTTAGGGAAATCAATGTTTTTGCTTTCTCCCCGTTTCGCTTGCGATGGCCATCCAAGGCCTCAAGATGGCTCCAAGATGGCCCAAGAGGGCCCCACAAGAGGCCCAAGAGAGCTCCAAGACGGCCCCAAGAGCGCCCAAGAGCGCTTTAAGAGCGCCCCAAGAGCGCCCCAAGAGGCGATGTTTGGAGCTCCTGAGGGGGAAGCTAATTAGGGAACCCCCCTTCGTTGATCGATCTCCTCCAAGATGGCCCCAAGAGCGCCCCTACAGCCCCCAAGAGCGCCCAAGAGCGCCCCAAGAGGCGCCGAGACGGCCCCAAGAGGCGCCCAAGAGGCCTCCAAGAGGCGCCCAAGAAACCCCCAAGAAGCCTCAAGAAGATCTCCGAAATGCATTTAAGACGCTTCTGGCTCTTCGGTTCGCCGCCCTCTTCAACTTCTCATCCCCCTCTTCCTCCTCCTCCTTCTCCTCCTTCTCCTCCTTCTCCTCCCTCTGCTCCTTCTCCTCCTTCTCGTCCTCCTCGTCCTCTCCCTACTCCACATCCTCCTCCTCATTCTCCTCCTCCTCCTCCTCCTCCTCCTCTTCCTTCCCCTCCCCCGCCGACGAGGATTCCTTCTCCATCCTCCCCCTCTTGGGGTACGTGACAGCTTCCCCCGCCCTTTGTTATTCTGCATGCTCCCCGACTTCCCTGATCACCTCAACTCCCCTGGGCATCGTTTCTGGATGGGCTGGTGGGGATTGCTGAGAATTCGACCGCAAGAACGAGATTCTTGAATACATTGCAAGCATGTATCCAGCGAAGGCGCGACTCCAGAGTGCCGAGAGAGAGAGAGAGAGAGAGATTCCTGAATGGATTGTAAGTAACTTCCAAGCGAGAGCGCGATGCCTGAGTAAAACGCGAGGAAGTCTCAGGCGGGACCAGAGTTCTGGCTAGATTGCGAGGAAGTCTCAAGCGGAAGAAGCTGTTGTTGTAAACCAGGTCCAGGGGCACAGATTGAGCCGAGTAACGTTTCCTGATAAAAAAACAGGGTGCGAGACCGGAGGGGGGGGATCAACAATACTTATCCCCCAATCAGAGCTTGCCTCTGCAGGGGTCCTAGCGGATTCATACGGTTAGGTAAGATTTGCCACTGATTTCCGCGGCCCACCCGGGTGCCCGGTTGCCAGGGTGCCTGGGTGCCCGGGTGCCTTACAGCCCTATAGCCCTATGTCAAGCCTTATAGGCAAATAGCCACATAGCCCCGATAGCCCTATGGCCCTATGGCCCAATAGCCCTATAACCATATAGCCTTACATTATCATAGACTTATAGCTTTATAGCCTCATAGCCCTATGGCCCCACAGCTCTATCGCCCTATAGCCCAATAGCCGAGTAGCTCCATAGCCCTGTAGCCCTGTAGCCCTATAGCCCCATAGCCCTATAGCAGTATAGCCATATAGCCCTATAGCCCTATATTCCTATAGTCATGTAGCCCTATAACACTATAGCCTTATCGCCCTATAGCAGTTTAGCCTATAGCAGTATAGCCCTATAGCTCTCTATGCCTATAGCCCTGGAGCCCTATAGCTCAATAGACCTTTTAGCCCTATAGCCTGATTGGCCTATAGCACTATAGCCCCGTAGCCCAACGGCCCTATAGCCGTATAGTCCCATAGCCCCATAGCCCTATAGTACGTCAGCCTTGTAGCCATATGACCATATCGCCCTATAGCCCTATAGACCTAAAGCATTATGGCCCTATAGACCTGTAGTTCCATAGCCCTATAGCCCCAAAGTCCCATCGCCCCAATAGCCCAATAGCCCAATAGCCCGATAGCCGTAAACAAACATTGTTTGTGGCTCTTCTCTGGTATCGTGTTCCAACAATTAGACTTCACCAACAGAAGAACAACAACGACGACGACAACAACAACAACAATCAGTGTACCCTCATGTGCGATCTTCTCACACAAAGCATGCGACCATCAGGATAACCATCCGCATCATGGGGGACTCTTGTTGCTGTGGTTGCTAAAGGTGTCCCTGGCTCAAGGTGCCCCCAGCTTTTCGCTCCTGGAAGTCCTGGGGGGCACCTTGGGCCAGGGGCACTTCTGGCAACACTCGAATGGAGGAGGATACAGGATAGGAGGGCAGAACACTGCGAAGAGTTTTCGAGAAGATGGAGTAGATTTTTGAAAGGTGGATGCAAGAGTATTGTTTGGCCCTCTTCGCGGAGGGTGGGCCCGAACGGGCAC